AATAAATCGAAGTCTCTCCACTTTACTGAGATTGGCCATTGAGTAAATATTTCAAAAACTTAGATAGAGTTTTGCGGAAACAGCGTATCAAGAGGATATAACTAGATTACTTATTACTTGTATATGTACCTATGTGTAGAGATCGATCAAACTTAAGTGTCAAGATGTTTTATTGTGAGAAATGGGTTTCTATATTGTATCTATTGGTTTTTCTAGCGCAATTTGATGCGCTCTATCTAACTGTACGATTAGATAGGATCGATCGTGTCGAATGATTATAGGATTCAGCAACTTTCTGAATAGGACCTCACATGATAGTGGGCTCCCGTCCTATCTATCTTATCAAACTCTATCAAAATAGACTTTGGTTGATATGACTTCAAGTAGAACGATGTTATCTCGAGAAAACATGTCTGCGAGACTACTTATGAACGCATGAAATCACACAAAATGTATCTCATGCCCTGGACTACAGAGTGAGTAGTAAGACGTTGGTGAAACGCTCACAACGACCAGAATTTCAGAGAAAGGTTTGACAAACACTAGCACAGAGTGGTAGGAATAGATGGAATTTACTTTATTTCTGAGCAAGATCCCTGAAATCAGGCGTTTATATGCTCTAAAAAATCAAGAAATCCTTTTTTAGTATAGGGGGCTTATAATTATGGTACAGCAAGTTTCGAGAATTTGCATTTTTTTCTCTAATTGTTAGGGAAGCGCAAATCAAAACTTAGCATGATAGATAGTACTTATATAGTCATACACCATCATACCATTAGTTGATCATGGTTTTCTAATTCGGAAGTAAAATAAAGATTTTTCAATGCATGTGTAAGGGGGGCTTATAATTTTGGTATACCCTGTAAATCCCCATTCTTGAAATGATTGAACCAACGTTGCGCGCTACGAGTGGAGACTAGACTCTGGTCCATTGTACTGCACATGTTGTTGGCTGCTGCCTTTGTTTTGTGACCCAAACGAAATTCGTGAAGTAAAAACACGCGAATCTCTTTATGAGAAAGATTTATTTTTGGTTCGACATCAACATCCATATGGACGATTTTTTTATCATTCGAAAGACATTCATGTCCTATATATATACCCTTAGTATGGAAACTTCTAGAACTTTCTAGGTTATTCTACAAGATTTTAGAAAAAAACGCCAGAACTTTGTTGACAACCCAATAATTCTTCTAATAAGCCGCCAAAACGATCAACCGATGACGCGAGCTAAGCCTTGTATAAGGAGGTTGAATGAATGAGGTTGCTTTGTTGGACCAGTAAATTGAAATAGATCGACAAGATCGATAAGGCAACGAGAGAAATTGACGGCGAATTTTATGCTTGAGCGATGGTCGTTGCTTCGGCAAGTAAAACCAACAAGGATACGACTTCGTTCAAGATCGCGAAGTCACGCGTACTTAAGCATAGTTCTTTTCTGTTCAATTCGGTTAGGACAAAAGTCAGTTGCGCTGCAGGGATGTCGAGAATCTTCTGGACCGTGTGAGACTGTTCCATCGTATCTTGTTTGCCGTCGGTATATTCTTCCCACTCGATTCTAACTGTTCAGCGAATGACACTTGAATGTAAGAATATTGCGATTGTCGATACTCTGGCCACAGCGTTTTTTACCCAAATAGCTCCTTGTAGACCGTTGCGGACAACATGCTGAAGTGTGTGAGCAAAGCACGGCAATCTCAGTCCACTTTTCGATGGTATATTTTCAAAGCTATCTTTCATTGCGACTACCATCGGTTGTGTCGTCACCGTTCATGGAAAAGTATTGTTCAAAACCGAGAATAATTCGGTCGCCAAATGTTTTAATGTTATTTGATGAATTATCAGTCACTATCAGGGACAACTTGTGTTGGATTTATAATTCCTCAACGATTGATTCGTAATATTCAAGTAATTTTTACCAGTATGACTGCCATCCGTAGGCAAAAAACAACACAAGATTTAAATACGCCTACGATGACGACATGACCTAGAGAAATAATTTGAAAAGCTTGACAAGGGACACACACTCATACCAGTGATACTGAGGAACGGCCGCATTCGTTTGCTGGCCCAGATATCGAGCGTCAACGAGATGTATTCGGATGATGAGCAGAATTGTTTCAAAGATTCATTCATCTTGTTATACAGAGCCGGAATCGTTGTTCGACTCAAAGTTCTTCGACTAATCATTGAGAGTTTTGAATCAGTCTTGTCCATGAATCGTAGAAACCCTGGTCTTTCCACCAATGATAAAGCAAAGCCAACATCGATGATCAAATCTTGAGTGGTAGCATTCTCATTCTGTAATTCGTGTAGCCGTTCATGATTGCCCGGATATGATTGCATCAGACATGGAGATGATTGGATCTTCCTTGCAACAAAGTCGACTAATTTTGTTTGGTTGGGATCATCTTTGTTCAGTTGTCTTGACCATTGGTCAAATTCAACTCTGTGATGAGTTTTGACATCTCGATCGAGATTGGAAGTGACACCAATGGTATTCGCTACCACTTCATCACACAGCAAACATTTCACCCTTGGTCATGATGATAAAGAACTTATCTTGAGCAGTTTTTGTCAGACTCCGCTTTTTCAAACCGAATTCGACTGTTCCTAGTGATCCGAGAGAGTTTGAGAAAGCAGTAGAAGTCGAATCAGGATGTTCGCAGTTATCCATATCCATCGAAGGATCTCGTATAATTTTCTTTCTTCTCGCGACCGAAAAGAATAACAAATCAATCATAGTACAATGACTATTCTTAACCTATCATCGACATATGTATCGGTGGATAGCTGACTAATACAAACACTTTGAAATGACCGAGATTTAAACCCGTGTTGGTAGCTCTCGATATTATATGCGTATATCAACTTTCCGTATTGAAAAGTGTAATGTTCAAGATAAGGATACGATTACCTCAAGTCAGTCAAGTCAAGTCAGAGTGCTCAATAATCTACTTACAATTCAGTCATCTGAAGTCAAAATCAACAAAAAAATTTCAAGTCAGTCAGACTAAGTCGAAATTGACTTGACTTGCTCAGCGCTGACCATACTCGAGAAATCAGACGTAATGAGATATTTCTACTTTTTGGTATGAGACATGAACGAAATCTATTGTATGTTGAGTTACCATTTTAGTAGAGAGTCAAGCAGGTGAGTCTTGACGGGCGCTATTTATTACCTAAGCATATAGTTTTTATTCTATGTGTCAAAATAGTTTTTTCCTTCGTTAAGACCAATAGTGGTACCTACGAAAGAGTCTTTTTAGACATGTCTTTATGAATATAAACTTTGAACATTCCTCTATGATTGATTAAAAAAGTAACTGTTTGCTAAATCCGGTGCGGACAAACTCAGAAATCGTTTCTCATAAGTGACCTTCCTGGCATCACAATGTCACCTCTACTACTGTTGATGTATTCTAAGTATTCTTTCTTGCTGTCTTAAAGGGTGATTTTCTTTTGTGAACGATATATTTTTAGATGAAAGAAATACAATAATTTTTTAAGTGCAACACGGAGCATTAAGACTTTTCAGTGATTGATATTTATATGGAAAAAACGTGGATGGTAAAATTCGTTGTACTTATTCTTGTCACTATTATGCTATTCACCACACGCACTAATTGGAATAAGTATCTGACGACTATCCGACCACAACATTATGGCTTAACTCATTCATTTGAGACTGCAATTAGATTTAATCTTAGCGATGAATTTCTAAATACGGCGCGGCAGACAAATCTATCAGATGACTCAGAGTTATGGAACATCGTTCAAAGTTCTCCATGGCTTTTTCCAAAATCTCGATCACTCTTTTCGTATTTAGGCTTGCATAATGATTTAGACGGACTTTTACAAATAATGAGTAGAGGCACGAGAAAAATTATGATTCTCGGTTTTAATTCGCATTGGCAGTCTATGATAGAGAACAATATTTTTACATTGGTTCGATTCGCTCGCGCTTCTAACTATATCGTTCTTGCTCCCGATCAAATCACTTTATTAGTTTGTATAGAACTTAATCTCCCATGCTATAATGCGTCTAGGTATTTCGAAGACGCTCGAGGCAATGTTAGTATAAATCGCGAAGGACTTTTTTTAGACCCATATTTTCTAGCACTAGTATGGTATGGTCTTCCGCTTTACCTAGACATTCTTCGAAAAGGATTTACAATAATGAAGAGTGATTCAGATATTAGTTTTGCGTCAAAAGAGATTTGGGCAGCTATGGAAAATATGGTTAATGAAACTAAAGCTGACTTAGTGTTCATGCGAGAGCATCCAGTAAATACAGGACACTTTTACGCAAGCCCTAACGACCGAGTTAAAGCGTTTTTTGAGGAATGGATTGCTTCAAGGGCATTTTTGCCAAAGTTAAATGAGCAATTAGCATTAAGTTCTCTAATGAATAAGACATACATGCTTTGTCAATCTGAGCAATTATGTAGCTATGTGAAAAATATACCAATGAAAAGCAATATGTCTCGGTCGTTGTTCAATGCAACGACACAAGGTAAAATGGCCGCAGTGACAACATATCCATCGGCTTTTAGTGAATTTGGAGGGATATGTCCTCCGAATATTACGATCAATCCTTGCAAACCACAAACTCTCTATGTACACCCTATCTGTATGACAAGTAGCAAACTAAAAATTGAGAAGCTAAAGGCCCTTGGATTTTGGTTGTTGACTGAACCTTGCAGTGAGTCGGCATTTGAGATTTCCATTAATCAATATACAAAAAAGAGCGTCAAAATCGTTCGCTGCATTCCGCTACCCCGTCTATGGCCGAAGATCGAAGAGTCCTTCATTAAATGCTAAATGTGTATATCAAATGACAATCCATTCACTCACTGTAAAAAAAGAGTGGGGGATATTCTACCCTACAAAAGGACTTATTAACATCATGTACCCTTGATCAAGATTTCATAAAACCCTTTTTTAGCACATTTCACTTTTAGATACTCTTTAAGGGTATATGACAGGTCCACAAACCCTTTCAGGGTTTGTTATACGTTGCACTTTCGTAAACCCTTGCACGCTTATAAAAATAATAAACTCTTTGAAGGTTTACTATTTCTTTTTCATCAATCCTCAAAGAGTTTATTATTTTTATAAGCGTGCAAGGGTTTACGAAAGTGCAACGTATAACAAACCCTGAGAGGGTTTGTGGACCTGTCATATACCCTTAAAGAGTATCTAAAAGTGAAATGTGCTAAAAAAGGGTTTTATGAAATCTTGATCAAGGGTAGAGTCAGTTGGGGTAATTCGGATCAAAATGGCAGTGACTGAAAATGTTTTGATTCGTTCTTTGTTGTTAGTTGTGATAGAAAGTTGACTTTTGTATCGCGACTAGAACAGAACATGCTCTATCAACTGGCGAAACGATCTCCTCGATAGCACTTACCAGAAAAAAGTATTGATCAAAATACTAAAGAGATGCAAAAAGTGATCCGAATTACCCTAGTTTGGACAATTCGGATAATTTATATAGACTGCTCGGTGTAATTCGGATCATTCCAGCAGAAATTAGAATAACTTATTTCCCCAACTCAGAATGCAATTTTTTCGCATGCTTTTAGCCTAAAAAATGGTACCATTCGAGAGCGTATGTTCTCTTCTATGGGACCTGAGAATATCATGTCGAACTGATGAGTTACAGAAGCATAGTGATCATCACGATGTCAGCCGTTGAAAGCACCATTTTTTCCGAGAAAACCAACCTGGGGTAATTCGGATCACTCATGCAAACTACCTGGGGTAATTCGGATCACTCATGCAAACTACATGGGGTAATTCGGATCACTCATGCAAACTACATGGGGTAATTCGGATCACTCATGCAAACTACCTGTGGTATTTCGGATCATCCCAGCTATGTTAGCTTGAGAGAAACTAGCAAATCTTACAGCATCTTTACAATCAAGGATTGACTACTACTCCTCTTAGAGCAGCTGTTCAGCTCATCGAACTCTATCTTCTCACGAAAGATGCAGTAGTGTCAAACTCGAAACTTGAATTCAAGTATTCAACAATCTCTTCGAGTATTCGAGTATTATACTTGAATAGTTGAATAGTTCAACTTTTCAAATATTCGAGTTTTCGAGTATTCAACTATTCAAGTATTCGAGTATTCAATTATTCGAGTATTCGAGTATTCAACTATTCGCGCGGCGCATCATTGGATTTTTGGGTACGAGCGCTCAGAAGGCCTTCCGCCCTCTTCGCTACCGGTCTGTTTAGCCGAGCGCTCAGACGGCCTCCGGCCGCCTTCGCTATCTACTGCCTCCATCTACAGAATCGCCACTCCTGTCGCTCAATTACACAGCATGCTGCCAGACGCCGCGTGGCATGGTGTTCCGCGCGAATGTAGATCTGAACTTTGCTATGAATCACAGGACATGTCGTCAAACACTTGCAGAGGTCAGCTATTACAAACAGTAAAGGCACAGCGACCAGAGAAGCGTTTTTCTCTACACATACATATAAACGAACAACACAGCGAAACGCAGCATCCCTATCCACCAGACATAAGGGTTTCTGTCACAAAACCTCGTTTTATTCTATTTCACAATAACCCAACTTTTAAAGTAAATGTGTCACAGAGATCTGCTAAATACTTTCACCTACACTTTCTCTCAAATAGCAAGTAACTTACCCCTATGTACACAATACCAGCTCAACATTCACACCCGCACCTTCACACAGACTATACCCCCCATCACCCCCCCCCCCCAACCCCCCCCCCCCCCCCCCCCACACAAGTGATCCCCCCCCCA